AACAGGTAAATGATCATAATAATAGGACATAAGACTTGAATCATTAATAACTTTTGTTCCTTACATTTGATTGAAAAGTAGTTTTCAACAAAGTTGTAACTGAGAAAATTTGCTACAATTACTGCTATCATTTTTAAAAGCATAGTGATGTGGTGAATTGTTAGATATATATGACCAAAAACATAAGTTTTCCCATAGTAATTCCCATATAAACTTGAAATGGTTTGTGCCAAGTCAGTTTCTTACTAAAGTAGTTCAAATTTTGAGAGGCTAAGCAGGACCCAATTTGGAACCGTTTAAGCACTGTGGAGCGAAAATTTCTAATTTTGCATCAGTCTACTGCACATGGTGCGCAGCTACACAACGATGAAAAGTTGTATTCGAACTTATTGAACACCCTGTATTAGTGACAAGACTCGGTGACTTCCATAAAAAAGTAACAAGGACTAAGATGTGTTCCTTTGATAACTGAAATATCCTGTTCCCCTAGTTTGAAGTAGTCAGGACTAGGAATCTGTGGTAGATCTTACATCCCGTAACGTACCACGAAAAGGTGATCTACCCACGTTACGGGGTGTAGTTTCCGATAGATATCATCTCAAAAAGCAGCAATGACATCTGATGAACAATGAATGCAGAAGCTTGACTAAATCATAGAGGTTACTCTAATACCAGAAGGTCCCGAAGAAACGTGCTCAACTTTTTGGCTCAGCTCTGGTACTCTCTTCGATCCCAAGCTATTCGATGCACGAACCCCTCATTTAATCTGTCAAACTTTCATAGCGAATCAAAACAAACATAGTGTAGTACTAGAACTTTGACTAGAATGGAGTACGTTAATCGATTTACTTGGGACCAATAGGCTAGTCAAGTAGTGAGCCAATTTGAAATCGTTAGTTTCCACCGGTTGGTAGGTCACTCCGCACACCAATCTTTGGTCATCTTTTTTGTCAGTGTGCCGCAGGATTTTCCGGTCATAGAGCAAGCTGCGATTGTTTGTAAAATACCCATCCCAGCAACCCGGTATTTCTGAAACCTTGAAAAAACATTAAGGTGTTTTGTGTTCATAGGATAATAAAAGTCTTGTGTTTTAGGCTTTTATAATGCCCTCAAAGGCAGACCAGAAACCTAGCCTTTTGTGACGTTAAAAGCCACGGTCTATCAGCAACAATCAATACAAAACTAACGATTTTAAATTGGCTCACTACTTGACTAGCCTATTGGTCCCAAGCAAATGATTAACGTACCCTATTCTAGTCGAAATTTTAGTACTACGCAATGTTTGAGGGGTTAAACGAGGGGTTAGTGAATTTTCCTATGTTTCGAGGGGTGAATCGATCAGCTTGGGGCCGACGAGAGTACCAGAGCTAGGCCAAAAAGTTGAGCACGTTATTTCGGGACCTTCTAGTCTTAGAGTTACCTCTATGCTATCAGCGGCCGGTAAGAGTTGGAACCGGTGGGGAATATTGTTAGAGACCGTCTATAGGGGATGAGGAATAGACTTCTGTAGTTTGTATTGTGTTATTTGCAGCATTATTTGAATTAAAGATGCAAATGGGGTCTGACTAACTGCCTCTCTTCTCTTGAGCCCACTCTATTACCTACATTTCGTATTTAGATCTATAAGTGAACTGCTGGTCTGAGTTCCTCTGGTATATTCAATTAGAGGATGTTTCTGAATATACAGTTAAACAGTACGTAATGTTGTGAACAACTCAAGGGGTGGTCACTCTACACACTTATTTTGTGCCAACATTTTTCTCAGTGTACCTCAGTGTGCCGCAGCTGTACAGGCAGTGCCAAGAAGTCATTGAACTGACTTTTGTTTGCTTGTGAATAATGTCTTGTTTGGCAACCCGGTATTTGAACAGCTCTTGTTTATGTTTTGTTTTTCAATGTTTTCAAAAACGACACGGACTCCATCTTCAAGGATGCCTGCAACTGACGAGCTCCGTTGCTACACGATCCTTCCGGCGTAAGTCCCACCCCGCACAACGAACGTCAATCATTAGTCAACCAGCCCTTCTGGGAGCCGGCGAAGGAAACATATTTGCACCGATTTTTTTACCGCCCGAGTATCATCCGTCGGAAAACTGGAAACCAACATCGGCCGGACCACACGTCGGACTGACGAAGGGCCGACCCGATGACCCGAAACGGACCATCCAACTTCATTCAACCGGCACAGCAACAGGGCGCAGTGATGATGGTCTACGGACTCAGTACCGCCATGGTCCAGATGGGAGACGCCATCGCAGTCGAACGCAGCATCCAGCACTTGAACAACATTGAATTAATGGAAATGATGGTAGCAAAATTCAAATAGCAATTTCCAAGCAGAACTATATGCCAGAGTCCACCAACCCGTATACTCTGCCGGACAATTCGATCATCTTCAAGGTGTACAGCACCTCCAAGAACAATCGCTTCCATTCCCGAACAAGTTTCTCCACTTCTTCAATACCCCACCCGGTATGTCCGAGGATCTGCTTCTGACTGCATTCACCACCAAGGACTGCCACCCGTCGCAAGTGCGAATGTTCCCGCTGAAATTGGAACGTTCCTCCTTGGAAAGATCGAGTTCCCGAGTGAAGACCTGGCGGTGTACGCCATCATGAAGTGCAACCGCAGCGCGATCGATCACAAAGGCACAAAATTCCCGTTCATTATGAAGCTGCGCTTTTCCTCCTCCAGGTCTATGAACGGTGCGTGGAGCAACGAGAACATCGAAAACATTATATATTGGCCGATGGAATGGTTGGTGTAGCAGCAACCGCCATGGTTGTATTCGAGCAGTTCGAATGGTCGGATGGTATAGTTTTTGTTTGATTGTTGACTTTCCGATTAAAACTCAAGCACCGTTTGTCGTGACCGGCCCAAGATTTCCAGCGTCGGCCACGGCTACACGAATTAGCGATGCAGTTCCCACGGCTGCGGCTGCTTCCAATGCTGCTGCAGCTGTTCCTTCTGCTGGTCCGTCTCCTCCAAAAGTCGTCAGAAAAGACGGACCAGCAGCAGCAATGGAAGCAGCCGCAGTCGTGGGACCTGCATCGCTAGTTCGTGTAGCCATGGTCTGAAACCTCGGTCAGGTCAAGATACCGCTGTCAGCAGTTCTTCGTTTAGGAGGAAATATGGACGCAACTACCGTCACGGGTGTAACGATTGTGAGAATCCATGGTGAGACTTTGTTGAGATTCACGGTTGTGTTTTGAGAATAATTTGATTATATTGCGGCAACATCAATAGCAAATTTTGATACATGCAAACTGCGCAGGCGCAGAAAAATTTCAGTGTTGCCAGTAGCTTTAAAGATCATAAAAAATTGTAACCATGGGTGCCAAATAGCTCCAATGACTGCACCCGGGTGTGCCCAAGTTTGATTTTGGCACACTGTGTAGAGTGACCAACCCCTTGGAACAACTTCAACGACAGTTGTCTAGCAGTGCTCCTATTTTATTAACAACAATCCAATGTGCCGAATGTGTGCCAGATTGTGCCGAATGTGTGTCAAAGGTGTGCCGATCGATGTGCCCAAGCTGTGCCGAATCTATTTTCGGCACAATGTGCTGAGTGACTTACCCCTTGGCCTACATCCATATGAGCGCTGAATGGATTATCTTTTGACTCGACCTTCTCCGATTTGCGTGACAACCTTTCACATGTATGCTAAAATTAAGCCGTTTTGAATCTTGTGAGTTTTTTTTCTTCAAAATGGCGTATTTGATATTTTTCAATAAATCGTAAAAAGTCACTTCTAATCGAAATGGTGTTGGAGACAAATTAATATTAATAATAATAATATTCAGTGCATCTCTAGTATCAAAGCTTTGTCCCACCCACGATTTTTTGGAGAACGTTGTTAAAAAACTGATTTATTCCTCCAATGATAAAATCTGACCTTTCTTACTAACAGAAATTCCGACTAAAGTACTCATACGATGAGAAAAGAATTGTCATGAACGCATGATGGATGTTGGCCCTACTTAGCTAATAACTAGCCCCCTCCCCCTCCCCCCGGCCGGAACATAGCCGGATGTGTTTGGAACTGGTTTTTGAATTCTCATGTCATTTGATGTGTCACATTATGGGTTTTATTTATGTCTGGCCGCATTTAGTTTCATGGCATTTTCAAACCAGAACATGTTCCGGTCATACATCTCCGGAACCAGTTCACGATTCCAAAAATATTCAAAAGGTTCTATGAAACCATTGTACCTTGTCCCACCCACATATTTGATGGTGCACGCGCCTCTGCTACAGCGTATCGACAAATTGAAGACAATTTATTGCATTAGATGGAAAGCGGAAATGGCAGAATTCCTGCACAAATTTTAATGAGTGTCCATAACAAATAACTCAAGAGAAAATTTCCAAACAGACGTTAGTGCTTCTTTAAACAATGACTTCAATCGTCAATTTGTCGTAGCCAGGGAAGATGATCTGATGATGCCTGGATCAGCTAGTTACTGATGATTGAAGTTAACGTTTAAAAAAGTAAGTACTTACGTCCATTCAATAATTTGTTCTACTCCGTCCAACTTCATTAAATCATACAACAGGTCATATGTAAATCGCATTGTCTCATATGCCTCCCGACTCTGGTGCACATCATGTGTTTTAAATCTTGTAAAACTTGTTACCCTAGAGATATTTAGTTTTATTAATTTTAAATTGTTGCAACCTCTATCGCAGTTCATTAGTTTCATGACAAGTTATTTGTTCATTATCTATTTCTTCTACTCTTACTGTTTATAACATTGTATGTACAAAAGAAAACCATTATCGTCGTCTAAAATATACCAGCACCGCAATAACAGCACCGACATTACTGTGATTATGCACTCATGCACCGTGATTAGAGAGTCAAGCGTTGACATCGTGTAACGAAACTCGAAGTTTGTTGACTAACACCATTCTAGCAATTTAGCAATACACGGAAACCGTTTTCGAACGATTCTAATTTTCTCCTTTCTCCCGTTTCCATCCCTATTTTATTCCAGTTGGCAGCACCCGATTCCTGCAGAAAATGCTCATGGTCGTAGGCAAGGCCAAACCAGCTCAGGTTTAAATAGAAAAAAAGGAACAACAACAGCAAAAATAGTGAGGACACAATACCTCTCCACAAGCAGACATCATTCCGCATCTCAATCGTCTCGCATCAAATTAATCGACAAACATAAACCATACACTTCCATTTAGATGGCATTCAGACGATAGATCGACGACACATTCCGGAAGAATCATTCATTGCTTTTTCAACGCAGTCAACATTGAGTTCATTGAGGAAATGAGCGCGGACGAAGTTAATAGACAGGATTTGATTTGTTATAAGAAAAGCAGCGATTGAGGGTAAAACTTCCGTTAGTAGGAGAACTATGTGACAAACATACATTCCTGTTGTATAGTTATTTTTTTTAAATGTTAATTGACTGAGTCAGACATTTTAGGTTGTATGAGAGGAGATAAGTTTTCCAGAACTTCCCAGAAGGCTGTTTGTTTTCAATGTTTTGTTGATCAATTCATCATCACGTCCCACGTGGAAGGCATTTTCCTTTTTAATAGTGACCCATACTGTACAAGTATTTGTGTTTATCTTTAATGTTAGGATGCTCTACGTTCCTGATAAAATTATTTAATTTGTTAAAAACTTAATTTAAGTATGACGACAATATGGAAACAAAGCAAAGCTCAAAGCTAAATAAATCCAGTTGGAAACGAATATTTTGATTTCATTCCCGTAAAACGATTGAGTTCAAGGCTGAACAAAAAAAAAGAACGTGACAAACGCGCCGGTTATATAATTAGGATAGAGAACATATCACGAAGAAAAAGAAAACGAAAAATTGAATCTCAGATGTATTAATTAGCACCATATCGCACCATATGCCATAGTTATATCCAAATTGATCTTATTTTCGGTTAGAATTTATTGGTAAACTTTCGTTCCAAAACCTCCCGAGTATTGAGCAGCATCCCAGTTGCCAGCTTTACTGGAGAGAAATGAAAACCGTGTGCTTCGATTGTAAAATCAGTCAAACGCGTTCAAATTATTACATGTGTAAAGTATAACCAAATACCCGTTCCATCATTATTCTGTAATCATATGCATTAATGGGAAAATGTTTTAAATGTGTTTTATGCAATGTCCTGATTAGGAGAAAATTGGTGTTCCACGGAACGATTGATTAGGAGAAGAGAAGCAAGTCCACACCGGTGCGACTGATACTAAAGAGGGTTAAACTTGTTGACAATAATCTAAAGTTTAGTGTTTAGAAAATTTTTAATGTACACGCCAAAACCTACCATTATACATCGCATTTAACAGAACCAACAAACACACACATACACATATAACGACAGCGAAATTAATGCATTCCACATATACCGATTCATATATACAAACCACGGTACGAAACATAATCAATGTGATCAATAGCTAAACAGTCTACTAGATGTGTAAATACTGGACATACAATGTAACAAAAATAATACAACGTAACTCAATCAATCATGTCAGAAGAAAACAAACAAACAAAAACATAAACCCAAGACACATGAAATCAGCTCCGGAAACCGTCATCATAGAAAAAACAAGCAAAAACTGGAAACGCTTCGCTTGGAAAAAAGCGCGGATGAAATTCGTCGAAACGTGGACAGAAGTTGGAATTTTACGCGCAGCGCAGATCAAGTGACATATTAGTAGCTATATTAGGAAATAAATAAAGTGAAATGTATTATTGCAAATGGAATTGGCGGTTGCCTTGATGAATTGATGGAAGATATGAGAAATATGGAGGGGAATATCGTTTGGCATAACAGTAATTTGCCATAAAGGGCGAACACGAAATTATTGCGACACATTCAACAGGGCATAACTTTTTTACCATTGGGTAAAAATCAACCAAATTTTGCACACTTTCTCATTGATGTGTATTGTGTACATGCTGTCAAACTCGAAGTCGTGTTTTTTGATTCAACGAAAATGGAGGTGAACCAACGCGAGTTGGGAGAACAAATTCTTTCCAAACACCTGGAATTTCCTGACCTGTCGCACCGGCAGTTGGGAAAAATGTTGAACATTCACCATTCAACCGTCTCCAGAGTGTTGAAGTGGTTCCAGGAGCGGTTGACGTTGGACCACGGCAAAGGAGCTGGAAGAAAACCGGGACCGGAGAACAAAAAGAAGTGAAGCGGATGATTAAAGCAAATCCCAACGTCTCAAGCCGTGATTTGGCTAAAAAGATCGGCATGTCGCAGAGCTACGTCCAGAATGCAAAGAAGAGAGCTGGACTACATACATACAAGGTACAGAACTTCCCAAACCGCGATGAGCGGCAACAATCGACGGCTAAAACTCGGGCACGGAAGCTCTACGAGAAGATGCTGACAAAATATGGCTGCTGTGTGATGGACGACGAAACGTATATAAAAGCCGATTTTAAGCAAATTCCGGGGTTGGAGTTTTTCACCGGCAAGAGCAAGTTCGATGTGGACGACAAATTTAAGAAGAAGAAAATGTCGAAGTTCGCCTCCAAATATCTCATTTGGCAGGCCATCTGCTCTTGCGGACTGAGGAGTGAGCCTTTCGTGACAAAGGGCACAGTAAATGGCGAGATCTACAAATCTGAGTGCCTCGAGAAGCGCCTTTTGCCGTTCTTGCAGCAGCACGACGAAGCTCCGCTATTTTGGCTGGATTTGGCATCATGTCACTATTCTAAAAGTGTCCTGGAGTGGTATGAGGCCAATTCTGTCCATTTTGTTCCAAAGGACAAGAATCCGCCAAACTGTCCGGAGCTGCGCCCGGTGGAGCAGTACTGGGCAATAATGAAGCGGGAACTTCGGAAGAGCAAGAAGACAGTCAAAGACGAGAAGGACATGGTAAGAAAATGAAAAAAAAAAACTGAGAAACTGGTACCGGATGACACTGTAAAGACTTTGATGGAGGGCATCAAGCGAAAATGCGTTCAATTTTACACTCAAGGCTCCATCGATTAACTTTTCTTTTGATTTTTGAAGTAAATATATGTATAAAACTACCCTAAAATTTTGGTTTGATTCTAAACATTATAAGAAAATTGGCATGACATTTTCGGTGTCGCAATAATTTCGTGTTCGCCCTTTAATACCAAAGATAACGACGTTTTTTATGGGTGTCACTTAACGGTGAAAACGAAGCGAAGTGACAACTTGTCACTCATGGTGAAGTGATTCCCATTTGATTTGCCTGGGAATAAAGAAAGGAACAGTAACTTCATGCAAACGCTGATCCAGAACGAGAAGGGAAATGACAGGTGGGCACCCAAGCAGCACACTTCGATCGAAATAAGCTGCTGCAACTTGATTGTGACTGGAATAAGTGGCACACAAGTAACCACAATTGTTCAGTGACATCCCAGCAAATATTGAATGTTGAATACGAGTTTTATTCAGACAAAAATAAGCTTCTTCAGCTTAAAAATAGCTTATTCAGCTGTTGATCAACTCAAATTGTTTGTTGGGATGTGTGCTGCTAGGGCAGGAACTCGAGGTCTCCCAGTGTTGGTGAGTTCTTTGCCGTTAATGTTCACGAAAAGTTCACTATTTTGCCATACAGAAATTCAAAACAAAAACTTTTATCTGCGGATTTTTACAGTTTTTGACCTGTTTCATACGACCGGAAGGTGTATGCTGGTCACAAATAACGTGCCAAACTGATTTCCTACACAATTAATCAATCTTTGATGTGAATTTCGCTAATAAACACGAGGAGCATTTCTTATAGCAAAACTTGCCATAACAAAATGGGCATAGTTCATTTTAGTAAACAAACTAATACTTCTTCCGAGTGTGTCACCTTTCATTCAGCTCCTAGGATCCAGAAAGTGTTTATACTCTGACGATTGAAAAATCAATATCGATTTTTTCTTCCTCTAATCATTTTATATTTAGCGTGTTCATTTATGCCAGTTTAATCTGACTACGTTTGGCAATGACCGTTAGCCTACAGATCAATCTGCTTAATACGAACTTTCAAAGTGTTTTTATGTTACTTCATACGCGAAGTTAACGATTTTCAGAGTTGGTTGGAAATGCTAACATGAAGCTTTAGTGTGATGATTTATTAGTTAGAGAATGATCTTTAGAAGAGGGTAGGTGGATAGTTCCGTTAGAGTACGGCAGTGTGAAAATTGAATAGAAGTTGAAAATGAGCTAAGGGCCATTAATGCGACAGTTCTTTTTTGAAGATAGACGCACATTTTTGCCTAACCCGTACGATGTACGCGGGGACTTGAAGTATGTCTCCAAGTCCACAGGCAAAAATGTGCGTCCCTCTTTTTGCTCATAAACTGACTGCGGCTGAATCATCACACTAAAGCTTCATGTTAGCATTTCCAACCAACTCTGAAAATCGTTAACTTCGCGTATGAAGTAACATAAAAACACTTTGAATGTAACAACTCAAGGCGGGAGTAGCCGTCAACAATGCTGATGATGGTACAGCACGCAACAACCACCCTACTGCCTTCTCTCTGAGATGATCACGTTGGTCATGACGAGAGGAGCAACACAATAGTTGGGTAAAGAAGAACTGCATTATAACACACCATCGACTGGAAATGCTCTCGCAACGTGGGGCTTTAGGTAGTGATGAAAACGTCGCTAGAACTATTCCACAGCCGCAGTCAGTTTATGAGCAAAAAGAGGGACGCACATTTTTTGCCTGTGGACTTGGAGACATTAATGGCCCTTCGCTCATTTTCAACTTCTATTCAATTTTCACACTGCCGTACTCTAACGGAACTATCCACCTACCCTCTTCTAAAGATCATTCTCTAGCTAATAAATCATCACACTAAAGCTTCATGCGAGGCTTCATGTTAGCATTTCCAACCAACTCTTAATACGAACTGTTGTTTTAAAGCTCACAACAATTTGTACAAACAAGTTTTTTTTGTTTTGCTGTATATATTGGACAGATCTAGATTAACATTTCAAGAGGTCCTGTCTGCATTTGTCTATTAGTTTCATGATTCATTCGATATTCTATTTGAGTAGCCACAGTTTTGCAAACATGCTTCATGCTATTTATGCCAAATGGTTTAAAGAAAAAATGCAATCTTCTTATTTTTCTTCTTTGGCTATTATACCCCAACTAGAACTTTACGCTTGCTCTCAACTGAGGGGACTAGAGGCAAAGCGGTGCAATTGATTTTGATTGATTCTCTTCATCGTTTGTCTTTCGTTAATAACTCGGTTGCATGACAGATGATAACCTCCTTTTAACTTTTTGGTCATCAAATCTAATCTAATTTAACACCAACACAGCCAGTTCTTGAAAGCATCCTGGAAAATGATATATACACCTACATCATTTTCCTTGACTATTTGATATATGTTTCACATCGAAGATGCGTCACAAATATCAAAACGGCCAGGGCTACTGTGCAGCATTTAAGGGGCAAGATGATTCAGAAAACATCGGGCCTGTTTAAATCGAAAATTGAAACACGATGCTTCAGAATCCAATTATTTGATAATTATATGATTGGTTGGTCGTTGGAAGGATCAAAGCTAGAAAGGTTAAATGATGCTCCATTTTCTTCTGACGGTAGGGGCATGAGCACTAACTCTTGTCCTAGCCTTTTATGACTTATGGCTATAGCGCCATTACTCGATTTCTGAAAAGAGACGAGGGAAAGGAAAAGTAGAAGTACAAAGGACAAAGAAGACTATGTGAAATCTATGAACGTAAACAATATTTTTGATTTGAAATATACAATATAGAAATTCAGAACGCCGAGTCTTGTCACTATTATCAAATCATAAAAGTAACAAGGACTAAAATGTGATCCTTTGATTACTGAAAAATCCTGATTACCTAGTTTGAAGTTGTCACCACTAGGGTTAGATCTTATACCAGTAACGCATCTCAAAAAGGTGATCTCCCAACGTTACTGGTTTGAAAAGATAAAAATTACAAAATGGAACGAACTCACCAAGTTTAGCCCATGGAGGCGAACCAGCCCAAGGCTGAAAGCCTCCCTAATAAAGTTAAATAATAATAATAATAAGTTTAGACAATTGAACCTGAAGGCTGCCTGACATGTGTTCATGTAGAAGTTCAAATTGTAGACGAAACTTGACGAAGATCAACGTAAACTAGTCCGGTTCGAACACTCGCACAACCTACTCATAAGAATAACTTTTCGGTCATCAAAACAAAACTTTATTTTTCTCGGATCGGTGCGAATGTTACTTCCGACAAAGTAAAAATTTGCTCTTGATGTGAATAAAGCAGGGGACTGGCAACCCTATATCAATCCTATACGTTTGACAGTAGGCAACATCACGGGCCTT